AGGAGAATCGCTTGTACTTAGGAGGTGGAGATTGCAGTAAGCCAAGACTGTGCCATCGCACTCCAGCCTGGGCAACAAGAGTTGCCCAACAAGAAACTCCATCTCAAAAAAAAAAAAGGAATTTAAGAATAGCCTGGGCAATGTCGGGAGACCTCCTCTCTTAAAAAAAAAAAGAAAAAAGAAAGAAGGAAAAAATTTTATGCTAGCCACATGTGGTGGCACATGCCTGTAATCGCAGGTACTTACAAGGAAGAAGTGAGAGGATCACGTGAGCCAGGAGTTCAAGGCTGCAGTGAGCCATGATCACACCGTCGCACTTGAGCTGGGGTGACAAAGTGAGACCCTTTATCAATTTAAAGAAAAGGGGAGGGGGAACTGTGAATTTCATATGAGCATTACAAAGAGCTTCCAGCAATATAAAGTTAGCATACATCCCATCGATTTCTGGCTGTAATACCTAAATACCTATGCCCAACAAGATAACTCCGTGATGGCACCAGTCTCTTTAATGAAAAGTACTGTTATTCCTCAGTCAGGCAGTAACTTCAACTTCACACCAAAATTAAGTGAGATTCAAAGCATTTTGTACTAATGGAAGTTTGATGTAGATCTAAAACAGTTTCTTATTTATGACATAGGATAAAATTTTATCATGAGATCGTTTGATTTCATTGTTACAAGTCCTGAGAAAATTTAATTCAGGCATTTCTCTTAATTGTTTTTTTGGTATTGCTTGGGTTTTTTGTTAAGGGGTAGTTGAAAAAGTGTGATATTGTATGAAAGCGTAGTAAATAATGTTAAATTGTAAAGTGTAAGGCTACCTGATGTAATGATTTAAAAATACAAATTAGGCCGGATACCATGGCTCACGCCTGTAGTCCCAACACTTTGGGAAGCTGAGGCAGGTGGATTACCTGAGGTCAGGAGTTCAAGACCAGCCTGGCCAACATGGTGAAACCCCATTTCTACTAAAAATACAAAAATTAGCTGGGCATGGTGGTGGGCACCTGTAATTTCAGCTACTCAGGAGGCTGAGGCAGGAGAATGGCTTGAACCCAGGAGGCGGATGTTGCAGTGAGCTGAGAATGTGCTGCTGCACTCCAGCCTGGGCGACTGACTAAGCAGGACTCTGTCTCAAAATAAATAAATAAATAAGAGTGTGTGTGTGTGTGTGTGTGTGTGTGTGTGTCTCATGTTTGTTTTCTAAATTTTAAAGCAATTCGAGAAACTTTTTCTTAGTTATAAGAGACTTAAGACTAGGTTATTAAAGACTAATAGGCAAATAGGGTAGTTGGCATTTTTGTCATTTATCAAAATTAATTTGAAATCATTTTAATCTTCATTTGGACAGTATTTAATTTTAGCAATGTGGGTTTGTAATACGGTAGAAATTGTGTGTCTATGTTTCAGCTCAATTCAAGGATTTTACTTTTAACCACTTCTTTACTCTTTCTGAATAATTTTTTCCTAAATGGGCAATCTTTAAAATTTTGATTTTTATTAAACAACATTATAGTGCTTTTTAAGGGTTTTAGTTACATTTTAAAATTCAAAATTGTTCAGAATGGCAACTTTTTTAAAATTTGAAAACCATGGGGGTTATACATTTATGGAAATATTTAAAAGGAACTGTAACAAATGTAATACTACGAAGTTTCCAGTGAAACCTCTCTTCAGATGAAATACAGTCTTGGAGTAGACAGTATATAAAGATCCTTTCACCAATCTGTACATTAATACTGATTAATTTAAATCAGTATTCAGCGAATGATACAAATTAAATTATTAGAATAGAATTAAAAATCAAGAGGAATTCATACTGTTTTTCAGTCTGTCTCTTAATTCACAGACCTCTTACTCATCATCTAATTAGATTTAACATTTTTCCATTGTGAGCGCTAAAGCCATTGGCCAAATTAAAGGAAAACAAGTCCCTTGTTGGGTGCTCCCAGAAAAGTAAGGCCATACACAGATTGAGTATGCAGGATGGTGTCATTTAATGGCATGGGCCTTTTATTCTGAAATGGAGCTCTTCATAATCGTTGAAACTTAGAGGGTAGCAGGCCTTGGGGTTTGCCATGCCCTGCTACTCCCCCAACAGCAGCAGCCTGTCAGCTGTATGCTAACGAGGTGAACAATTAAACAGAGTCCTATCTGGCTGGCCCCACAGGCTCTAGGCTCAGACAAAGAACTGTTTATACACCTGTTGTATGTGTAGACAGAGCCATTATAATGTGGAGCTGCAGATTAAAGGGAAGACTTGGGAGCCCAGGAGAGCAAGGGTTAAAGAGAACTATAAGAACTGTGAAAGTCAAATTCTCCAGAAAATACAGGAGGGCCATTTGCAAGGGGAATCGTGTTACAAAGAAAAAGTTTCTGCTAACTTCATTAACATGAAAAACTCCAGACTTCAAGCCCTCTTCTAGTCTGAGACTTTTTTTTTAAAGACTTATATTTTTGCTGTGTGTGCTGGTTAAATTTTTTCTTTTGTAAGCTAATTATGTTTAAGTCCGTGTGAGAAAACATTTGGTTTGTATTATTCTATAGATCTAAAAATATTGCTGGTATTTCTGTTGCAAAACAAATCTAGCATCCTTTCTGATTTTCCTGAAGGGAAAAGTAAAATTTCTAGTATTTATTATTTAGATAATCATCAGACATTTTTTAATAGTTGAGTTTTAGAAAATCAAAGAATTATTTATGCTGATGAAGTAAAAGGAAATCAGAATTCAGCAGATGCATCAGCACTTAGATAAGTGAAAATTCAATTTGTTACCGTTCAGTAGTATTGTCTTACCGAGCTATAAAACGTTTCACTTGTAAAATATATACTAAGTATAAATTTAAATTTAGAAGTCTATTTTCTTTTAAATTACTTGGTGTGATAGTTCAAAATACTATGTAAAAACAGAATTAGCACATGTTGCCAGGGTTCGTAAGAAGTTTTAAGTCCACATTATTATAAATGCAGATCCACCTCAGCTTTTACTTTAACTGATAATGACTTTCTCAGCCCATCAAAACTCTCCTAGGTTTATTTTATCTTTAGAGTAGGCCTAATCTTCTAAAGTTTCAAAAAAATGTACAGCCATATGTTGTGTTTGCCCATATCTGTTTTTGTAAAATGGGATTTTGAACTGCCTTTCCTCTTAGATCACTGGGTAATTCATAGTAAGAAAGCAAGCTCATTTGTTAGGAATAAACAAGACCAGGATACCCTTGAAAAAGAATTTCACGAAACATCTTTAAAATAATTTGTTCTCTTGAATTCAGTTTTCACAATCTATTTCTTTACTGGTTGTTAGGCTGAGTACTTCAAATTCTTCTCAAGTTTTTTTAGAGGAACAACTCAATACTGAAACTTTCTGAAGTGGGAAGTGGGATGGAAGCTTGCCATCATTTCTGTGGTCCTTCTCAGCTTTAAGATTTTGTGATTGAAAAACATGATTAAATTGGGTGGTTTAGAGAAAGGGTATAGTGGATGCATGATTATTACCCAAGGGAGTAGTGACACAAAGAATGCTCAGCAATGGCCAATTATAAAATCATTTTGAAAGTAACTACTGCATTAAATTCTAAAATCCACTAAATGAGTTTTTTTTAAATAAAGGTGAGAATAAGTATAAAAGACAAACATTTCTTAGAAAGTGTGGTGGAGTGATGGCTCCATTCTAATTTGATCTATTGCCAAATGGCTTGCGTTGCCTAAAACTTTGCTTTGGTCCCTTTTGTTTAGCTTACAGGAAACCAAAAGATAAACCTGTACAGGGATATTTATGCTTCCTAGGGTAAAATCATACAAAGTCATGCAAGATAAAGCTATATTAATTACTCAAGAGGGATTCAAAGCTTGACAGTTTACTAGGATTGAAGGATTTATTCAGAAACAGTGGTTCTTATATATAACTCCAGGCAATAAAACTATTTAATTAGAAGCTTAATCTTCTAGTTGACATGTCTGCTACTATTCTAATAAAAACTTCATCTGTAACAATTTTTTATGTATATTAATACTGCAATAGCTGAATTTTTCGTGGTGTTTGCATGCTTTAGCGTTCCTATTTCAGGTTAACTGTGACTTGTGTAAGTTTGATTAAAGCTAAAAATAAAAATACATGTAAATTTTGCTGCCTAGCAATGCACAGCTTTTGTTTTAAATTCTTTTAATTTTGTATTGCTTATGCTGCTCTTTCAGAAGTTTTGAGGGGAAGATACTTTATAAGATGGAAGGGGCAAACTTAAATAAATACTGTTGCGTGGAATGTAGCAGTATTTTGTAAAATGCCAGTTCATGCACACTTTAATGTATTTACGTATTATATGAAATAGATTTTCAGAATGATTATATAGGATTATTATTAGACCCTATAATATATAGTGCATTGTGGCTTACAGAATTTTTTTCTTTGAGACAGAATCTCACTCTGTCACCAGGCGCCAGGCTGGAGTGCAGTGGCGCAATCTTGCCTCACCGCAACCTTCACCTCCCGGGTTCAAGCAGTTCTCCTGCCTCAGCCTCCCAAGTAGTTAGGACTGCAGGCGCATGCCACCATGCCCAGCTAATTTTTTGTATTTTTAGTAGAGACGGGGTTTCACCATGTTGGCCAGGATGGTCTTGATCTCTTGACCTCATGATCCACCTGCCTCAGCCTCCCAAAGTGCTGGGATTACAGGCTTGAACCCGACCTACAGAATGTTTTATGAGCTCATTTGCTTCTAACAACAACCCTCTGTTGGATTTAAAATTTACAAATTAGAATTTTCATTTTTTAAAAAAGGTATGTTTTGGTTTGATTTAAAAGCAGTTCTTCTATGAAGTATCAATATTTTGAAAGTCTCCTCAAAAACTGGAATAATGACATCCAGAAAATTTGCTGAATTCAAATGAGCAGTGCTGTTTTCTCTATGAAACCTAGTAAAATAATTTGTACAGTTATTACCCCTGAACTGTCTTGACCATTTTTTATTTGGGGGTTTTTGTGGGTTTTCTTTAACTTCAGGTTGGAACTCATCGGGAAGACTCTGTCAGTCTCAATGGCAATCATTCAGTCCTGTCTAGTACAGTCACTACTTCAAGCACAGACCTGAACCATAAAACACAAGAAAATTACAGAGGTAACTATATTGTTGGTTTTCAGAAATAATGCAGAGATATCATTTGGATGACTGTCACCTTTCTCTCAGCTGGATTGACATCCGTGAATCAAAAGTCGTTTAGGTGAGGGAGTTCCAAATAGTAGTGTGGAAAGCAGATATTTAGGGTTCCAACTGGCCTGCTGAGGTTGGCAGTTACACATAGTTGTTGATGAATAGAGCACGTACAGACTATTGTTGGGTATTTACCGGTTGTCTTTTACCTCTTCCTGCTCTGTCATGTCCTTCTCCCTCAGACATTTACCCTCATGAATGTATGTATCTTCATGGCTCCTAGAGGCAGGGACAGAGATATTTTTGACTATACTGAGACCTCCGAATGGTGGAAGCTGTTGTTTTAGAGATTATCGTTTGATTGGAGAGTCATAACATTTTTATAAAAAGCCAACTGATCACTATTCCAATAGAGCTACCAATAAATGTGAATATAGAGCACTTGTAAGTGCAAATAAGACTACCAAAATAAAGTTATCCCAGTTATATTTAACCATGATTCCTATTTTGCTGTTTATCAGGAAGATGTTGAGCTTAGGGCCTTTACCTTGGCAGCATCTTAGAAGTTCGTTTCTACAATCCATAGTTTTTCATCCTTGTTCATTTGTAGAATAGTGCCTGAAAGTGAGCATTAGACTTGTCATGGGGATCAGACTTGTTCTTTTAAATACAAATGCTGTTAAAAAGCACAAGGATGTTTGACATGTTCTTTTCAGCTCTAAACAGTCTACTTTCCTACATCATCTGATTTCCATCATAACCCTGTAACCACTAAGGATATTCACCTGCTAGAATTTTATTGTGTTCTAATTCGTAAATGAGTCTCGTCTTTTATTTTATGTTACCTTTGCTTCTTTGTTAGGTGGCTTGCAAAGTCAGTCTGGAACTGTCGTTACAACAGAAATCAAGACTGAAAACAAAGAAAAGGATGAAAACCTTCATGAACCTCCTTCATCAGATGACATGAAGTCAGATGATGAATCCTCCCAAAAAGATATCAAGGTTTCATCTAGAGGCAGAACAAGGTATTTGTTAGCATCCAGGATTTAAATTTCACTCATTTGACATAGGTAAAAATACTTGAGAAGTTTGATGTCATGCATTTATTAACAGTTTCTATGTTAATAAATGTTCTAGATAATGTGTTAGGATTTTTGTGTATGTCGTCTCATTTAATCACCACATTCTCCCTATAAAAGAAGCATATGAAGGTTTGACTTCAAAATTATGTTTTCCTTCATACTACACTGTTTTAGGGACTATATATAAAAAGTAATTATATCTCTGAAGGTAAAATAGCTAAAAGAAGTTAAATTGTATGGTACAGACATTTAGATAGATTTGATCAATAAATATTTTAATATAGTCAGCTGTCACTTAATGGGACAAGTTGTAAGAAACACATTGTTAGGCAATTTCATCATTGTGCAAACGTACAGTATACTTCCACAAACGTAGCCTGTTGTTCCTAGGCTGTATATCTGTATACAGGTTACTGAACTGAATACTGTAGGCAGTTGTAACTCGGTGGCAAGACTGTGTGTTTCTAAACACATAAAAGGCATGGTAAAAGTAACAGGTGAAGAATGGTGCACTTGTACAGGGCACTTACCAGGAGTAGAGCTTACAGGACTGGAAATTGCTCTGGGTCACTCAGTGAGTGGGTGCTGGGTGAATGTGAAGGCCTATAGACTTTACAGACACTGTACATTTAGGCTGTATTTCATTTATTAAAATACATTTTTCTTCAATAGTAAATTAACCTTAGCTTATTGTATGTTTTTTACTTTATACAGTTTTAAATTATTTTTAACTTTTTAACTCTTGTAATAACTTAAAACACAAACACATTATATAGCTATACAAAAAAATTTCTTTAAGTCATTTTGTAAACTTTTTTCTTGCTTTTTTTCTTTCTTTCTTTTTTTTGAGACGGAGTCCTGCTCTGTCGTCCAGCCTGGAGTGCAGTGCCATGATCACGGCAACCTCCGCCTGCCGGTTTCAAGCAATTCTTCTGCCTCAGCCTCCTGAGTAGCTGGGATTACAGGCACCCACCACCACTCCAGGGTTTGTACTTTTAGTTGAGACAGGGTTTCACCATGTTGGCCAGGCAGGTCTCCAACTCCTGACCTCAAGTGATCTGCCCCCCTCAGCCTCCCAGAGTGCTGGGATTACAGGCTTGAGCCATCATGCTAGGTCTTGGGAAGCTTTTTTCTATTTTTAAAATTTAGTGTAACTTTTTTTACTTTTCAGACTTTTTTGTTAAAAACTAAGACACAAACACACATGGTAGCCTAGGCGTACACAAGGTCAACATCATTAATATCATTGCTTTCCACCTCCACATCTTGTCCCAGTGAAGGTCTTCACAGGCAGTAACATGCATGAAGCTGTCATCTGCTATGGTAACAAAGCCTTCGTCTGGAATATCTTCTAAAGGACCTGCCTTCAGGTCTTACAGTTGACTTTTTTTTTAAGTTAGAAGTATACTCTAATGATAAAAAGGATAGTGTAGTATAAATACATAAACCAATAACATAGTTATTATTATTATTATCAGGTACAGCAGATCCTGAAAGAACATCATTTTGTGAAATGTTGATGACAAAAAAAAAATTGATTCCTAGCTGGAGCCTCTGTCTCTGTGGAGTTTGCACATCCTTCCCATGTCTCATCATGTGGGTTTTCTCTTAAGTTCTCTGGTTTCTTCCTTCATCCCAAAGATGTGCATGTTAGGTTGATTAATATGTCTAAATTGTCCCAATATGAGCGAGTGTGGGTGTGAGTGAGTGTGCCCTGCAATGGAAGAATGGCATCTTGTCCAGGGTTGGTTCTGCCTTGCTCCCTGAGCTGCTGGGATAGGCTCCAGCTTCGCCCTGACTGTGAACTGGAATAATTGGGTAAATTATTATCTTACTTATTTTTACAAGTCTTTCTTAAATATATATATATATATATATATATATATATATATATAGTTTACATTTATTTCAGTGTTTAATATTAGAAGTGTTTTTGGTCTTTCTTTAGAGTTTTAGTGATATTTCGCCACCAGAAATGTACTGTAGGGACTTAACTCTTGTTTATATCAATTAACCTATGATAAAATTGGTTTTATTATATGTCATCTTGCTTGAAGTTTCCAAGAACTGATCAATGACATTAAGTGAGGACTTACCGTAGTGTGTACTGTACATAATTGCATGCTTTTATACAACTGGCAGCACAGTAGGATGTTTATACCAGCAGCTACACAAACAGTGCCTCATGTGACTAAAGCATTGTGCTGCAGCCCTACTACAGCTGCAAATCACTGGGTGATAGAATTTTTTAGCTCCAGTATAATATTATAAGACACTGTTATATATATAGTCCTTCATTGACCAAAACAGCATTATGGGCCTCTTAACTATATGTTAATATAAGAGCCGAATATATGGTAGGACTCTGACTTAAACAAGGGGTCAGCAAATAGTGGCCCATGGGCCTGCCCAGCTTGCTACCTGTGTTTGTTTTTATTATTATCATATATATAAGATATATGATTATACACATATATATTTATATTTTTATATGTTCATTTATTTATTATTATTTTTTTAATTTTTTTTATTTTTTGAGACAGGGTCTTGGTGTCACCCTGGCTGGACTGCTGTGGGTGATCTTGGTTCACTGCACCCTCAGCCTCCCAAGTAGCTGGGATTACAGGCACATGCCATCATGCCCAGGTGATTTTTGTATTTTTAGTGGAAACAGGGTTCCACCGTGTTTGCCAGGCTGGTTTCAAACTCCTGGCCTCATTAATGATCTGCTCACCTCGTCCTCCCAAAGTGCTGGGGTTACAGGCATGAGCCACTGCACTTGGCTGCTGCCTATTTTTATAAAGTTTTATTAGAACTCCACCATGCCCCATTCATTTACTTATTGCTAGACTAAAATAGTTGCCACAGAGACTGTATGGCCCACAAAGCTGAAAATATTTACCATCTGATTCTTCTCGAGTATGAGAAAGGAAGTACTCTAGGCAGAATGACGTTGCGTGGCGTCTTCTAGAAAATGGACTTGACCTTGCTCTGAAGTATGAATAGAGACACATAGTATGTTATTTTCAAGTGATTTCCAGATTTTTCCTTCAATTTTTTTTTTTCAGTTCTACATTAAAATTAGATGAGTTAGGCTGGGCACAGTGTCTCACTCCTGTAATCCCAGCACTTTGGGAGGCTAAGACAGGAGTATCACTTGAGGCCAGACGTTCAAGACCAGCCTGGGTATCATAGCTACATTCTATCTCTACAAAAAGTTATAAAAATTATTGGGACATGGTGGCACACACCTGTAGTCCCACCTACTTGGGAGGGTAAGGCAGGAAGATTGCTTGAGTCCAGAAGTTTGAGGCAGTGGTGAGCCATGATCATGCCACTGTACTCCGGCCTAGATGACAGAGAGATGCTGTCTCTAAAAAAAAAAAATTAATAAAAATTTAAAAGTTAGATGAGTTAGTATATTTGTGGTACCCCCTATTTCTTGGCATACATGTTCATTTATCAGTGATAAGCATATATCATACAGATTTAAAACATTGTTCTTTGTGTTGAATTATGGTGTAAAGGGGACTACAATGAGGATGGTAGATAAAACTCAAAGCAGAATGGTTCTTTCTGTCACATACTTGAAAGGTGTCCTTTTGCTCTTTTTCTCACTGTTTTCAACACTTAAACATTTCTCTTGGGAAAAAGGAAATCTTAAGATCTCAGTAGTATTACTTTAACATGCATTGTACTCAACTTTCGGGCATAAGGAAGGAGAAACTGTTTCAAGGAATCCAGAGATCACTCTTTCAAGGCATCCTAACGCTTTCATAATTTTTATTAAAATAGAACTTTTTTGAGACGGAGTTTCGCTCTTGTTTCCCGGGCTGGAGTGCAATGGTGCGATCTCGGCTCACCACAACCTCCGCCTCCTGGGTTCAGGCAATTCTCCTGCCTCAGCCTCCTGAGTAGCTGGGATTACAGGCACGCGCCACCATGCCCAGCTAATTTTTTGTATTTTTAGTAGAGACGGGGTTTCACCACGTTGACCAGGACGGTCTCGATCTCTTGACCTCGTGATCCACCTGCCTCGGCCTCCCAAAGTGCTGAGATTACAGGCGTGAGCCACCAAGCCTGGCCTAAAATAGAATTTTAAGGGAAATAATTTACATATTTCCTCCATGTTCATCTTCTTATAGCTCAGGAATCAGCAAACTTTCTCTATAAAGGCCCAAATAGTGAATATTTTAGGGTTTATTGGACATACAGTCTCTGTCACAGCTACTCCCTTCTGCTCTTACAGTGCAAAAGGAGCCAAAAACAAATGGATATCGCTGTTCCAATAAAATTTTAGTTACAAAAACAAGACGACAAGCTCATAGATCATAGTTTGCTTACCCATATTATAGATATCAGAAATTAGGAGGCAGTGTAAGAGGTTAGTAATAGTCCATAATAACGGGTCGGGTAATAACATGGCCTCTGGACAAAGTAAGATAACCTGGGTTTGAAATGTGGTTCCGTTGCATACTTGCCAAGTGACCTTGGGCAAGTCTTTGAGCTCAGTTTCTTCTTCTTGTCTAAAAAGAGACTTTCTATTACAGGATTCTTATAGGAATAACCTGAAAATGATGCATGTAAAACCCTTTGCACAATGTCTAGCAGACAGTAAGCACTCAATAAAGATAATACTGGGTCTACTGTTACGGTGGTCATTTTAGGTATATGGTGTAGGTTTGCTTCCGCAGTGCACTGGCCTGACATCTCTTCGTTATACTACCACCAGTTAGCTGTGTGATCTTGGGTCATGAAGTGGTTCTAAACCCTGCTGCTCAGACCATGGAACATTTTAGAAATCCAGGTGCCTGGACCCTAACCCAAACTCACTAAATTAGTGAGTCTATCATTTCTGGTGGTGAGACCTGGAAAGTTGTATTTTTAAAGTGCTCCTGGAAATACTAATGAGTGGCTGTCATCTGTGGACACTTTTGATGATCTTTAAAGGCCTTTTTGAAGTCAAAGAACCAGTTACTTTATTTTGCTAAACGAATGCATTTATATAATTCTTAATGACTAGCAGGTAAAATATTACATACTTTTTAGAAACAGGGTCTCTGTTGGTCTCCCAGGCTGGAGTGCAGTAGACTATAACCTCAAACTCCTGAACTCAGGCAGTCCCCCCATGCCCATCTCAGCCTCCGAAACCACCTAGGTTACAAGGCATGGCCTGGGTACTTGTTCTTTCATTAGAATACTCAGGGTATTAGAGAAAAGATTTAAAATGTCTGATATTTTTGCACATGATTTCAAGGTTCTGAGAAGCTTTGGTCAGTAATTTATATCTGAGTCATAAACAGAACTTCCTTTTTTTTTTGAGACGGAGTTTCGCTCTTGTTACCCAGGCTGGAGTGCAATGGCGCGATCTCGGCTCATCACAACCTCCGCCTCCTGGGTTCAGGCAATTCTCCTGCCTCAGCCTCCTGAGTAGCTGGGATTACAGGCACGTGCCACCACGCCCGGCTAATTTTTTGTATTTTTAGTAGAGACGGGGTTTCACCTTGTTGACCAGGATGGTCTCAATCTCTTGACCTCATGACCCACCCGCCTCAGCCTCCCGAAGTGCTGGGATTACAGGCCTGAGCCACTGCACCTGGCCAGAACTTTCTATAAACTGTTACAAAGCATCTCCCTCATGTTTCTTTTTTAAGTATGTAGTCTGTTTTCATTAAAGAAATTTTAAAAATATAGAAAAGTATACACAGAAATTACAAGAAACCTCGCTATTCAGAATTAACCACTGTTAACTTTTTCTTTTTTTTTTCCTGAGATGGAATCTCCTTCTGTCACCCAGGTTGGAGTGCAGTGGTATGTTCTTAGCTCACTACAACCTCCACCTCCTGGGTTCAAGCAATTCTCTTGCCACAGCCTCCTGAGTAGCTGAGATGACAAGCTCCTGCCACTACGCCTGGCTCCTTTTTGTATTTTTAGTTAGATGTGGGATTTCGCCATGTTGTCCAAGCTAGTCTCAAACTCCCCAACCTTAGGTGATCTGCCTGCCTCAGCCTCCCAAAGTGCTGGGATTACAGGTGTGAGCCACCGTGCTCAGACTCACTGTTTACATTTTTAAGTAGTATCTCTTTTTCCATGAATGCATTTTACATAGGAATTAAACTGGACATAAGTTTTCTTTGCTGATTTATTTTTAGGGATTTTCTTTTATTTCTGTCATACCTGAGACTTAATAAATTGGATATATGTGTTGTAATTTCCATTTTTTTTCATTCAACAATGTATTTTTGAAAACTTTTGGTTTTGTTTTGGATCAGTTTTATTGAGACTTATAATACACATGTAATAATAAAATTTACTACTCTTAAATATACAGTCTTAGTTATTTGACCAATATATACATTTGTGTATGTATATTAAAATGTATATATTTTGACAAGTGTAAAAGTTATATAACAGCTACCGTATTCATGATGTAGAATATTTTCACCACCTCAAAAAATATTTTTATGTCCCTTGGTAGTGAATCTCTTTCCTCCATCCCACAGTCCTTGGCAAGCATCGATCTGCTTTCTGTTACTATAGTTTTGTCTTTTCTAGAAGTTTATGTAAATGGAGTCGTAGAGTGTGTGATCTTTCATGCTGGCTTTTTTTTACTTAGCATAATCTGCAGCAAATGGTCCATTATCTGAATGTACTATGATTTATTAACCCATTTCCTATTAATAGATTCCAATATGTTGCTAATGTAAATAATTCTGTGATCATCTCCCTTTACATAAATTTCTGTGTACATCTCTAATTATATCCTTAGGATGAATTTCCAAAGTTGGAATTGCTGATCAAGAGGTAATGAACATTAAGGCTCTGGATTCATTTTGCCAATCTGTCCTTCAAAAAATTGTGTCATTTCTCCCATGTTTTATAGTCATCACCACTGATGACAATTTCTCTGTAGAACAAAAAAGCCGTTTTCTGAGATACTTCTCTCAATCTGTATCTTAAGCTTTTCTGCTTTCTTCTCACCAGGTAACTGCTAGAATATATTTAAGAGCATAGGCTAAGCAAATTATACATTAATGTACTAGGAGAGCTTTCAAACTTTCATGTGTATATGAATCATCTGGAGAACATGTTAAAATGCAGCTTCTAATTCGGTAAGATGGGAGTAGAACCTGAGAGATTCTACCGCAGTACTTGTAACAAGCTCCCAGTAATGCTGCTGCTGACTGACTGGTGGGTCACTTTTTGCGTATCCAGGTGCTAGAATGTTATGTAGTTATTGATCTTGTATTTATGAAGAGTTTCTGGAGAGATCTTCATGCTATGATTTACACTGAAAAATGCACTTGAGAGTGTATATGACTGTATATGTGCATTGAAGGAAAACTGGAAAGGAATATACGGTCATGTTAACTGGACCTGTTACTGCTGTTTAGCAAGATTTGTAGGTAGTTTTCATTTCCATCTTGATGCTTTGCAATTGTGCACAATCAGCATGTCTTACTTCATAGGGGACCTAATAGACTTTGTTACTTTATTTTCTAGCAGTACTAATGAAGATGAGGATTTGAACCCTGAACAGAAGATAGAAAGGGAGAAGGAGAGGCGGATGGCTAACAATGCCAGAGAACGTTTACGCGTACGGGATATTAATGAAGCATTCAAAGAGCTTGGGCGAATGTGTCAGCTTCACTTGAAGAGTGAAAAACCCCAAACAAAACTCCTTATTCTTCATCAAGCTGTGGCAGTCATCCTTAGTCTAGAACAGCAAGTCAGAGGTAAGCAGGTTCAGCCGAGAGGTGTAACTTCTGCCTCAGATGGGCAGACATTTCTGTATACAGTTGCTCTTCTGCTTGGGGAAGCTGTTTGTTATTTCTCCCAGTACTCCTGCCACTGTATCATCAGTGTCATTTTCCCTATAATTCTCACCTCTGTCTCACTGTATTGCAGAGTGTCTGTGGGCTCAGTGTTCTCCACCAATGGAGAGTAACTCTGTGAGGCAAAGCAGAGAACAGACAGCCTCTGCCTGCTGCTCAGCCTATAATTCTCACCTCTGTCTCACTGTATTGCACAGTGTCTGTGGGCTCAGTGTTCTCCACCAATGGAGAGTAACTCTGTGAGGCAAAGCAGAGAACAGACAGCCTCTGCCTGCTGCTCAGCCTATAATTCTCACCTCTCTCTCACTGTATTGCACAGTGTCTGTGGGCTCAGTGTGCTCCACCAATGGAGAGTAACTCTGTGAGGCAAAGCAGAGAACAGACAGCCTCTGCCTGCTGCTCAGCCTATAATTCTCACCTCTGTCTCACTGTATTGCACAGTGTCTGTGGGCTCAGTGTTCTCCACCAATGGAGAGTAACTCTGTGAGGCAAAGCAGAGAACAGACAGCCTCTGCCTGCTGCTCAGCCTATAATTCTCACCTCTGTCTCACTGTACTGCACAGTGTCTGTGGGCTCAGTGTGCTCCACCAATGGAGAGTAACTCTGTGAGGCAAAGCAGAGAACAGACAGCCTCTGCCTGCTGCTCAGCAGTAGTTGCTTTGTGTCCCTTTGCTCTGGTTGCTTCTCATCCCTCAGCCATTACATTTACCTGCTTGGACCTGCCCTCCTCCCTGCTCTTTATGTCTTTCGTACTTCTCTGTATTCATTTTCTTGCCTTCTCTACCTTGGAGGATCTGCTGTGCTCTGCTGGTTACTAGGATGCCTTATCCTGGGCCCTTCTGCCTTCACCAGACATGGATGTCCTGACACCAGTATCATTAAGGTCTCAGGGCTTCTTTGTTGACCCCAGACCCAGGAACACCAGGAACTTTTTGGGCTAACATACATTGGCATGCCTGTGTGTCCTAAAGGGCAAAACAAGTCACCCACTGCTTACTCAGTTTCATTTTTCACGAAGTTTGTTGCAATCTTGAAGAACTTTTGAAACTTCATTTGTTCAACATGTGTTTATTCCGTACCTCCTCTGTGCCAACCAGCTATGTCCTAGAGACCTTGGGTTATCAAATAATAGAAGCTTCTTGTCCTTAAGAGGTTCTACCATCAAGGTTGAGTTTCTCCACGTGTTTATATATTGTCTTAAAATATGCTAAGCCTTTTCGTAAGGAATTCATAAATGTGGCCCTAGGTTCCAGGTCTGAGCACTATTCTCTCTGAGAGCAATTCTTTCTGTTTTGTTTGAAGAAGGTTCAAACAGGAAAAAAGAGTAGGGTGGGAAGATGCTTGAAAACTACAACCGTGGACCCTCAGCATAGGTTACAGAATGAGTACTCATTCTTAGGAAAACCAGAGTTAGAGAAGTTGAACAAACTTTCAGAAATATATACAGTAGGAGTTACTTCATCCATCCACTTCCCTCCAATATATCTAATGAGTAAGAATGAAGGATAGATCATTCTGTGTATAATCAACCTAACATTAAAAGTGATTGATCCTCTTCTCCCAAGATCCTTGGAGTATAAATGTTACTGAAACTTAACCTTCAAGGAACTATAGACTCCCTTGGGATATCTGCAAGGAGGCAGATTTTTACCCACTCACCTGTGGGAGAAGTAGCGGTTCCTTGAACTACTCATACCTCCTGTCACTTTACCAAAGGTTTTTTTCTTGAATTGTGACTGACACCCTTTGTCTCGCTCTGAACACAACAAGGCGTCTGCGTTCAGCTGTCCAGATATATTCACTCTCCTCCCCTTCAGCCCAGGATATCTTCTACCCTGACTTCACCCAGCTGTTTATTGTTAAAGCCACTGCCTCGGTCTGGGCTGTGAACGGCTACTGTCTGGTCAACAGGAGAACCAGAACTAATTCTAGTACACAGCATCTTTTCCTTCTATAGTGCATTAAAATCAGAATGCAGTCATTTGTGTTTTAAAAACTTTTTTTTTTTAAGAACAGAGATCCCTACTTCAGATTTAAGCCATCAAAATGAGAAATACTTCTATGTTTGACAAACACAAACGTAAATAAATAAAACATTAATTCTACCATGCCTGGACGGACCTTACTCATTCGTAGCATTGGACTTTGCAAGTGGTTCCGTACAGGCACCTAGAACAGAAAAGCTGAGTCTGAGACACGGTCTATCGTCTATGCTTATTCAACTTTCTGACTTTCTGGTCTTTCATGGGTACTGACTGTTTCACACACTTCTGCAAAGCTCTGTCTAATCAGTTTGTGACTGATGAGAGTTTGAACAGATTTCAGATACACTGAACTGTAACCTTGTTAGGGATTGCTCTGGTACTCAGAAAAGCCTACTTCTCCCCTACCTTCAGACGAGGCTTCCAGCCTTACCTTAGGACTTTACATAAAAGCCTAGGGTTCTTTGCAAGACTTCTTTTTTTTAATTATCTCCCTATCTATCTGTCTGTCTGTCTGTCTATTTTTGTGGAGATGGTTTCACTGTGTTGCCCAGGCTGGTCTCGAAATCCTGGCCTCCAGCAACTACAGGCGTGACCCACCATGCCTGGGCTCAGACTCCTTGAAGGACCCTCCAGTGACTGTCTGTCAAATAGGGTTTAGAATCCTTCATACAGGCCACAATACCTGTTCCTTGTCTTTGGCAATACCTTCAGAGTTTTGTATAGCCGCTGTCCTTTCCTCAACTTACCTCCAACAGTTTTGAGTTACTTGGTAACTTGATCACTTTTGAGAGCCTCTTCATCCCTACTAGGAGCCTCCTTAGTAGTCCCCGATCCAGCAGTTTCTATTAAAACATGTCTTCTGCTTACATGACCTATTTGGGCATCCTCTTCACTCTGGATCCCCTTCTAGTTTGGGATGATGCTCCAAGCCTGTGTCTGTTGTGACACAGACAGGTAGTCTCAACAGATAAGTAGTTATACCAGGAGGCAGGCAGATCCAGGTATAGTTCATCCCAGAGAAGAGTGGGAACAGTGGTTTCTCTTCTGAGCCTCAGATTTTGCCAGAGCACTTAGTGCCTTGTTGCCCCACCTGTCAAACGCTGAGTCCCCACTGTCAATTTAAGCTTTTCCATTATCATGACTATGATATGTTATTTGTACCTTTGCCACTTTTATTCCCCAGCAGATAAATCATATTACCTTCAAGTTTGTACTCTTAGCATCACTCAAGACTCAGTTGAAAACATTTTCTCCTCTTTCAGAGGTCAGCTCGATCAGCTCACTGTTCTTTTGACAATTTAGAGATAAGATAGCTATTAGATTTTTATTTTCCTGGTCTCCAAGTGAGTTTCAAGATAAATGGTGTAGGACAGTGGTTCTCAAATCTGGCTGGTCTCAGAATGACCTGAAACTTTTCTTTTCTCAAACATTTCCAAAACTTACCCCTAGGAAATTCAGGTGCAATCAGATGGTTAAATGTGCTAGACTTAGCATATTCACTGATAATACTGCAATCTTTCCTGCATCCCCACTAAAATAAATAAAAATAGTATTTATTTTAACCCACAAGGAGAGATGAGAGAGCAGACCAGAGCAGATGAGATAGCAAAACTGCGTGTAGGATGGAAAGTCGATGGAAGAGTGGTAACTGACTGACTTGTTTCTAAGTACTGAAGAATACATGTCTCAAGAGTGGTAAGATCTAACCTTGTGCTAAATATAATGATTTTTTAAAAACGACCCAAAGTTAAAATACATAATCATGATATTTCAGAGCAGTAAGGTAAAAAGAATATTCTGAAGCTTCTGGAGATAAAATGTAAATAGCTTATAGATAAACAATAATCAAAATACCAGCTTCCTGGACAGTAGTAGTGGATTCTGGGAGATAGTGAAGCAGTACCTCCAAATTTCTGAGGAAAATAATTTCAACCAGAATTCTTTCTTTTTTTTTTTTTTTGAGATAGACTCTCGCTCCGTTGCCCAGGCTGGAGTACAGTGGCGCAATCTCTGCCTACTGAGTTCAAGCAGTTCTCCTGCCTCAGCCTTTTGAGTAGCTGGGATTATAGGCACGCGCCACCATGCCCAGCTAATTTTTTGTATTTTTGGTAGAGATGGGGTGTCAACCATGTTGACCAGGCTGGTCCTAAACTTGTGACCTCAGGTGATCCACCCACATCAGCCTCCCAAAGTGCTGAGATTACAGGCTTGAGCCACCACCTCCAGCCAATTTCTACCTAGAATTCTATACCTTGCCAGACAATTAATCAAAACTTGAAAATAAAAATGAAGATATTCCAGATAAGCTGGGCATGGTGTGTGCCTGTAGTCCCAGCTGCTTGGAATGTTGAGGCAAGAGGATCACCTGAGCCCAGGAATTGGAGGTTAAAGTGAGCTATGATCGTGCCACTACACTCCAGCCTGGATGACAGGGCCAAGACCACCCTGCCGCTAAATAAAAATTAGGTTGGCTGGGCACAGGGGCTTATGTCTGTAATCCCAGCACAATGGAAGGCCAAGGCAAGAGGATCACTTGAGGCCAGATCACTTGAGACCTGCCCGGGCAACATAGTGAGGCCCCATCTCTAAAAAATTCTAAAAATCAGCTGGGCACGGTGGCACACATCTATAGTCCCAGCTACTTGGGAGTCTGAGGTGGGAGGATCACTTGAGCCTAAAAGATTGAGACTGCAGTGAACTGTGATTGTACCACCACACTCCAGTCTAGGCAGCAGAGTGAGACCCTGTCTCAAAAAAAAAATAAATATTTCAGATATCCAAATCCTTTAAAAATTTACCTTCCAGGTTGGGCATGGTGGCTCACGCCTGTAATCCCAGCAGTTCGGGAGGCTGAGGCAGGCGGATCACCTGAGGTTGGGAATTCAAGACCAGCCTGACCAACATGAAGAAACCTTGTCCGTATTAAACATACAAAAAACTAGCCGGGTGTGGTGGCACATGCCTGTAATCCCAGCTACTCGGGAGACTGAGGCAGATGAATCGATTGAACCCAGGAGGCAGAGGTTGTGGTAAGCCAAGATCGTGCCATTGCCCTTCAGACTGGGCAACAAGAGTGAAACTCTGTCTTAAAACAAAAACAAAATAATAACCTTCCACATACGTTCTTTTTTTTTGGAGACATACTCTCACTCTGTCACCTAGGCTGGAGTGCAGTGGCGCGACCTAGGCTCACTTCCTGAGTTCAAGTGATTCTCTGGCCTCAGCTTCCCGAGTAGCTGGGACTACAGGTGTATGCCACCACTTCTGGCTAAGTTTTTGTATTTTTAGTGGAGGCGGGGTTTCACCATGTTAGCCAGGATGTTCTCAATCCCCTGATCTCGTGATCTGCCTGCCTCAGCCTCCCAAAGTGCTGGGATTACAGGCGTGAGCCATTGAGCCTGGCTATATGTTCTTTTAAAAAATAGAGACAGGGTCTCACTGTGTTTCCCAGAGTGGTTTTGAACTGGGCACAAATGATCCTCCCACCTCAGCCTCCTAAGTAGCTGGGACTACAGGCATTAGCCACCATACCTGGCTCGTGTATATTTTTTCAAAAAGCATCTGGCATATGCTTTAGCCAAATAAGTGCATAAGCAACAAAGATAAGTATTATAGGATCCAGGAAACAAAGGATTTAACATAGAAAAACAGCAAAAAGAAATCCCATGAAAAGAGCTACTGGGCCTGGAGAGCACCTAGTCCTTGCAGAATACCATTAGCTGCATAAGAAAGGTTTCCAGGGAAAGAAAATGGAATTAATTGATGATATGATGTGTTCAGGATTTTAGGAAAATACATTGGTAGGCATTTATTAGATCTCTCGGAGCATTTGGTGGTGGGTTGAGGAGATGGAATTTGCATTACTAACAAATAAAAAAGCAAGCAACTATTAGCTATAGGAAAAATAAACAATTGTATGAGCAAGCGAGCAATCACTGTAAAATTCTTTTTCTTAGCCAGGCGCAGTGGCTCATGCCTGTAATCCCAGCATTTTGGGAGGCTGAGACGGACAGATCACAAGGTCTGAAGTTTGGGACCAGCTTGACAAACATGGTGAAACCCTGTCTCTATGAAAAATACAAAAAATTAGCTGGGCGTGGTGGCACATGCCTGTAATCCCATCTACTCAGGAGGCTGAGGCAGGAGAATTGCCTGAACCTGAGAGGTGGAGGTTACAGTGAGCCAAGATCGTGCCACTGCACTCCAGCCTGGGGGACAGACTGAGACTTCGTCTCAAAAAAAAAATTGTTTTTTTCCACCCAAGTTCAGGTCAGATGGGTAATGTGCTGAGGTCTTAACAAGGTTGGACTGGGTGATACATCTCACACACACTCATGAACATCCAGTCTTCTTGCTCATGAACTACGAAGGGATCAAACCTTTCCTTCTTTCCCTCCTCCCTTCCCTCCCTACCTACCTACCTACCTCCCTCCCTCCCTCCCTCCCTTCCTTCCTTCCTTCCTTCCTTCTGTCCCTACCTCCCTCCCTCCTTCACTGCCTCTTTTCCTTCCTTCCTTCCTCCCCTCCCTCCTTTCTTCCTTCCCTCCCTCCCTTTCTTCTTTCCCTCCCTCCCTCTTTCTCCCTCCCTTTTTCTTTTTCTTCCTTTATCTTTTTCCTTTCTTACTCTTTTGTTCTTTCCTCCTGTCTTTTTCTCTCCTTTCTGCCTTTCTTTCATAATTCTTTTCTTGTTCTTTCTGCCTTTCCTTAATTCTTTTTCTCTTCTTGTTCTTTCTGCCTTTCTTTTCAGTAATTATTTTTCTGCTTTCTCATTCTTTTCTCCTGTCTTCCTTCCTTCCTTTTTTCTTTCTTTCTTTTTCTTTTCTTCTTTTCTTGTCTTTTATTTTCCTTTCCTTTTCTTTTTGTTCTCCCTCAGGGTTTAGCTCTTTTGCTTAGGCTGGAGTGCTGCGACACAATCATGGCTTACTGCAGTCTCAACCTCCCAGGCTCAGGTGATCCTACAACCTCAGCCACCTAAGTAGCTGGGACTACAGCTGGGTGCTAGCATGTCTGGCTAATTTTTAAATTTTTGTAGAGACAGGCTCTCACTATGTTGCCCAGGCTACTATAAAATTCTTACCTCAGCTGCTCTCTCCATCTAGTCATAATAATATAAATATTTACCTGGTCATAATAATGTAAGAAGTGACTGACTAGTGAGTTAACCAAAAATTTAGCTATAAACATGTTGAGAAGTTGATGTTTGAAGAGAGTCAAGTCCTCAGCTGTGTAAGAAGTCAGTAGATAGAATTCCCTCATTGAAATGTGGGAAGATGTACTTCTCATGCCCTGCAGGTGATGAGAAGCACCACATCTTTCTGGCTGCTTAACACACGTTTGCTCTGGGCTGGGGCTGTCACACACCAGGAGGTATGAAAGAGTAGCTTTAGCCTTTTTTGATCAAAGTTGTATTGACCTCACGTTTCCTGGAGCCGCTGTAGTATTGTTCTTCCCGCCTGAAGTGCTCTTGGTCTTACTCTAGGAATCTTGCCTAACTTACCGAGTCTTTGGTTCTGGACCTTCCCAGCATTTCTCATCATGCCTCCTCGATTCTGGTGTGACAGTATTAGTTAGCTAAGAGCAATTTTCCATTATAAGAGAAATGAGAGCCTTTTTTCATTTGGAATCTTTGGCGTCTCACATTCTCCTCTTTAAATTTTGCATACTAATTTATTACCCTCTTTTCAGTCTTCTGGTCATTATATGAAACTTTAACCTCCACAGCTAAAAAGACAAACTGATGAAGGACAGACTTTTATTTGTCAGAGGTGCACAGCTACTTACTAAGAAATCAGCTCTTCATATTTCTCATTTTCCTCCTAGGTATATAAATACCTAGTAGGATATAAATAAATGAAGAATGTATGTTTCTTCCTTCATTAATCCTCCTTCTAGTTGTATACAGGGGCTCAGAAAATTAGAACTCTAAAATGAAATTGTATTATTATGCATCACTGATAGTCAAGAGTCAGCCAAGTTTACCATATAATGAAACTGTTTGTTTACTTTTTAGAAAATTGGATGTGAACTATAAATGTGTATTGAAATGTATACATGCAAATACATTTTTACCTTACTTTAAAAGGGAAGCTGGAACAGTGGCATGTGCTGGTAGTCCCAGATTTTGGGGGGGCTGAGGTGGGAGGATCCTTTCAGCCCAGGAGTTCAAGGCAAGCCTGAGCAATGTACTAAGACCCCACCTCTGAAAAAAATGGTCGGGGCAGGGACATGGAAAAAGGAGAGCTGTACTAATGATATATAAGCTAGCTATGCCCTCATTTCAAGAAAATCTAACTTTAAAAAATTACAACTTCTAAAAATTACTATTTTCTTTCCAGACTAATTACAAATGATCCCTTTATATTATATTCACTAGGACATTTTTAATCCATTTATAAAAATATGTGGAACAACTCTTAACCTATAGTATATGTTATAATCAGAAATAAAAAGCCGTATCGGAAGTTGTGGATATCTTGGGCTTCACACTCATTTTTTTGAAAATCCAACAGGCATAGTAATGTTTAAGTGGATTTTGCTCTAATAGATGTCCTTTCCCTTTATTTCTCACAGTAGCACTCTATTCTTTTTTTTTAATTTGTTTGTTTTTTTTGGTTTTTTTTTTTTTTTGAGACAGTGCCTCGCTCTGTCATCTAGGCTGGAGTGCAGTGGCACAATCACTGCAGCCTTGTCAACTCTTGGGCTCCAGCGATCCTTGTGCCTCTCAGCTCATTCTTTAACCTCTTTTGAAAATGCCCACATTGCAGATCCCAACCAGTCTTCTTTGCTATCTTTTATAAAAAGCAGCAGAGGTTTTTACCACCCTTTTTTTTTTTTTAAGCTGTAGTCTCTCTCTGTCACTCAGGCTGGAGTGCGGTGGTGTGATCTCAGCTCATTGCAACCGCCGCCTCCCAGGTTCAAGAGAGTCTCTTGCCTCAGCCTCCCAAGTAGCTGGGATTACAGCATGTGCCACCACACCCAGCTAATTTTTGTACTTTTAGAAGAGACGGGATTTCAACATGTTGGCCAGGATGGTCTCAATCTCTTGACCTAGTGATCTGCCCATCTTGGCCTCCCAAAGTGCTGGAATTAAAGGCCTGAGCCACCGCGCCTGACCCTTTTCCACCCTTTTAATCACACTTCCAGCAATAGAAAGACCAACTCAGTCATCTTGTTTCATATATATATCAAAGTAGAAAACTAAGATGTGTACCAGCTATCTCCCTTCCTTGAATCAGTATATTTCCTGTAGAAGAGGTGTTCCTCAGCCCCTAGGCCATGGACCAGTACCAGGGGCCAGTGAGGAACCAGGCTGGCTGCACAGCAGGAGGTGAGCAGAGAGCAGTCCAGCGAAGCTTCGTCTGTATTTACAGACACTCCCCATCATCTGCATTTCGGCCTCCTGTCAGATCTAATGCCTGATGATCTGTCATTGTGTCCCATCACTCACATGGGACCATCTAGTTGCAGGAAAACAGGCTCAGGGCTCCCAATGACTGTATTATGGTATATTTCGTTTTATATTATAGTGTAATAATAATAGAAATAAAGTGTACAATAAACATAATGTGCTTAAATCATTCTGAAACCATCCCCACTCCCCTCCCCCCGTTCATGAAAAAATTGTCTTCCACGAAACCAGTCCCTGGTGCCAAAAAGGTTGGGGACCACTGCTTTAGAGAAATAGCTAGAGATGTGTCTTTATCATTTTCTGAACTGGTAACATTTTAGATAAAGCACAGATGTCTCTCTCAAGTACAAGAGGTCCGCATTCATGTCAATGCAGTGTACTATGTCTTAGCAGGACATTGAAGAGACTTGGTAGGCTAATAACAACAGCATTTGCCAAAATGTTTGAGTGAAGAGTGGCGTGTTGATTGAAATTAAAGCAAACCCAAGAAGACTAAATCATTAGCAAAACATGAAGAAAACACAAAGTGGTCACTCAGAAGTATAAATGTGGAGACTTGGTTTAATGCTGAGGTTTTATGTGAACCTATGAAATGGTACTTAGTGTGGGAATGAAGTCACACAGAGATTGGTAATCGCCACAGAAAGAAAAAGTAACTGCGGTTAGTTCAGCTTGAGACCTAATTCATGACTTATAACCATAGTAATACAAATTCATTCCTCCTGTTTCAGAGAGGAACCTGAACCCCAAAGCAGCCTGCCTTAAGAGAAGGGAAGAAGAAAAAGTTTCTGTCGTATCGGCAGAGCCGCCAACCACACTGCCAGGAACCCATCCTGGGCTTAGTGAAACTACCAACCCTATGGGTCATATGTAAGCATCAGCCAGGTAAGTATAGATTTGAAAGAAGGAGCAAGGAAATCACCTTAAGTTGCGTCTTAAACTGGGCTGTTACAATCTTTGAACAGAATTCTCTAGTGGGCAGTGTGGCCATTGTAAAGGTCACGTGTAATTTGAAATACAGCAGTTTGTCTTTCTGTTACATTGGCAGACTTAGAGAGCCAGTGTCATTTTATACCAAATTACCATTTTCTTCAGAGTGTGACAGTATGTTGTGACTTTGGTTCTTGCGTTCTGAATCATCATGTGTGCTCTCTTAACCACAAATATCTTCTGACCCGAGGAGAAATTGTACAGTGACTCAACCATCAGAAAACACTCTTACCACTCATGTTCTTCATTTCTTTATTCAGAAATGGTTGACTGTGTCATCAACCAGTTTTCTGCTAATTCTCTAGCTCTTTGTGATGAAGTCTTTATACATGAAAAAGATATTGCTTGCTTCTGTTTGGATCAGTCATGCAAGTTTGCAATACAATGCTTCCTCTTCCCTTCTAAGCACATCAGTTAACACCCTCTAGAATCTATTAATGAGTGTGAGGTTATTATATATAGTATAGCCAGAATGCTCTAATCTCTGGTGGAATTTTACTTGTTCAAGGATTCTTCTTTATTTCTTCCTCTTCAGGGACTAAACATAATTTAGCCCCTTGTGATTTGTCTTTTTAACAATATACATTCACAATTGTAATCTAAGTTGTAAAGTTATTTAGGTAACTGAAATTAATATAGACTTTAATTACATATTTGGCTAGCAGAATGGATTAGGAATAGAACTGATAACTTGATTTTTATAATCTGCCTTTGGCAGTATGTTGGGTTTTTTCCACAATTTTATCCACCAATTAAAAGTAGTAAGTAAAGGCAGATGAGTGTGAGATGTGGAGCAGAAAAAACATATCAAGTACAATTTCATTTTGTCAGCTTTGTAGCTCTCTCATTTTGAGCTGAAAGTCTGGAATTTGATAGAATATTATAAACTACAAATATTAGTGACCCACCTTTTCCTGAGGGATTTAGTTCCTACCACCACTACCTATATAGGGTCAAACCAGACCACACCGAAGATTTCATTTAGAGTAAAAGAAAGGAAGACTTAAGGCAGTTATTTCAGAAGTCAGTTATCCCTGTAACATTAGGACACTAGAGAAGACCTCAAATTACCTCCCCGACAAAAGTATCCAGCAGTATCACAGATTGCTCACGTCAGAAACTTTGGGCAAGAACCGGTTTACAGATTCTCTGAAACCTAAACCATTGTTTCATATTCTGTGGAAAATACAGGCTACTATGAAACGATAAGTATTTTTGTTTCAGAAATAAATTTGAAGTTTTTTTGTTTGTTCGTTTTTGTTGTTTGTTTGTTTGTTTGTTTGAGACAGAGTTTCAGTCTCTTGCCCAAGCTGGAGTACAGTGGTGTGATCTCAGCTCACTGCAGCCCCTGCCTCCTGGGTTTGAGCAATTCTTCCACCTCAGCCTCCTGAGTAGCTGGGATTACAGGCGTGCACCACCACACCCAACTAATTTTTTTGTAATTTTAGTAGAGACGGGGTTTTGCCATGTTGCCCAGGCCGGTCTCGAACTCCCCACCTCAAGCAATCTGCCCACCTTGGCCTCCCAAAGAGCTGTGATTACAGGCGTGAGCCACTGAGCCCAGCCAAAAAATAAACCCAGACGTTTTAAAATAAAAACATGCCACTATTTCTCAGTGCAAAAGAGGCTTTCTAAATTGATAGTTTATTTCAAAGAAGAGTGATGGGAGAGGTAACTTCTTACGCTCGGGTCCCGGAGCAACCACCAAGCTGTGGAGAAGAGCGCTTGTCATTCTCGCCTGATACTTCTCTTGGAGCCTGCTTTTATTTTTCTTGCCTCTCTCAAGTTAGTTCTACCCATTCCTCTTGTTTTCTTCCCAGTCTTTCTCTTACTCTTTGAACTTGTCTTCTCATTCTCATCTCTCATTTCCTTTTGTTTACTTCCTGTGTTTTTACTAATTTTCTATCTCATACTGCTTTCATCGGTCTACCCTCATGTCTTTATATAATGCGGAAATTTTCCCACTTAGGTTAAAATTAAACTTTGAGCATTCCCATCTATCAAAAAAGGATCAAGAATTCAAGTTTAAAAAGGCATCAAGATAGGCGACATGTAGCGAATGTACTTTGTTACGTAGATTTCGTAGGCTGGTGTTTGCCATCTTAGAATATGTGTTGAGGTTGCTAATTTCATGAAGGTCGTTTTCTGGTTTCATGATCTGGAGAGCAGCTTAAAAGCAGCAAGAGACAGAGCAGGAGGAAAAATGCCACTGGAATCAAAATGGCTAAGAAATGACCACAGATTGGCTGTAAACGTACAAAAATCTGCCACCGAATAAAATAGGCCAAGCAGCTTTGACTCTCTTAGTCTCCCATCCTGAGAGCATCGCTGTATACCTAAACAATTCTGTGGTTCTTGTTTAACAAAGAAGTAAAAGTTATGATTCTTTCTAAAACTATTAAAAATTCTTAAAGTAGAAAATTTCAGAATTACTATACATATTATATTGGGAACATAGGTATGTATAGAATTTGTACTAATAGAGTAAAATGTTCTTAATAAATATTGAGCAAACGTGTTGAGGACCTACTGTGGACCAGGAACTGGGACCAATATGAAAATGAATGCAGAGTAGCCTCTGACCTCAGAGTCCTGAGTGTAGATGAAATAAATGTAAACTGTTAACACAGTATGGATGGGTGGGTGCAGCAGTGAAATGCGTGCTTCACTATCGTGTCACTACTGAACAGTGAACGAGTAGCACCTCAGAGCTCAGTTATCGCCAACTTGAGTGTTGTTAAAATGAAGGTTTGCATAATTACTGCAGCTGTTTTATACTCCTGCAGTTTGTGATTCTGTAATCACATGATCTGCTTTAAAAATCTTACCCTATATAGCTGGGTGTGGTGGTGCACACCTGTAGTCCCAGCCACTCAGAGACTGAGGCAGGAGGATTGCTTGAGCCCAGGAGGTCAAGGCTGCAGTGAGCCATCCATGATCATGCCACTGCGCTGCAGCCTGGGTGACAGAGCAAGACCCTGTCTCAAAACAAACAAACAAAAAAATAACCCTTACCATACACATCAAGTAAAACCATTTCATTATACCTTAAAAGGAAGAAGTTCATTTGTAAGTTACTTAGCAGACTACAAATTTAGTGCAGAGCTGGGTAGAGATGAGGAATACCAACTTGTTTTGCTGGTGGGAGGGGGAAGGTGCTTTATTTTTAACAATTATGTACTAACTGGTACTGTCCTCTCCCTTGGCTGTCCCTGCCACAGTTCCAGAGTTATCAGTAGGCTAGATAGAAGGTGACCTCTCCTCATAAGGACTTGGACAACTCAGATTATCTGAAGACACAGAACTGACAGGAGGGAGAAGAAAAAACAAAACACTTGAAGCAAGAAACTCAAATGTAATCCTACGATCAAAGCAACTGGTCAACACTTCCATCAGAAGTGAAGATAGGAAGCTCATCAGACAGAACATCAGCCCATGAGATGTTTGCAACAGATCGTTTTGTTGTAAGCTGTGTGTCGCTTCTGCACAATCAGAGACTGTCTCGATCTCTCCACTCACCGTGGAAGTTGCCTTGTGCCTAAACTGAATTGACAAATGCATTGTAACTACAAATTTTATTTATTGTTATGAAACTGTAAGGTCTACATATAAAGGGAAAAGTTAACGTGGAAAGCTGATCTACGCTCAGCTGATGCCAGCATGCATGAAAGCAGTTCACGTGCAGAGAACAAAGCGGTGACAACCATTGGCCCTTAGCATTCCCGGCATACCTATTAGTGTCTTACAAAGGAAGGGAAAGGTCTTCCGTCCCTCTCCTGTCCTTTTGCCATATGAATAGTGTTTTCCATGAAATAGGAAAATATTACTTGGTATAGCATTTCTCTTGCTCTCATTTTTTGGTTTATTTTTATTTTCTCTTTGTGGGTGTTATATCAGATCTCTGAATAGTTTATGGTCACAGTCCAGTCGCCTCCATGCAACCCTGTGTGCTTTTGCACATTTACCTTACAGTGGTGAGCAGAGACCATCTGTGACCATAGCCTAGCTAGGATTTTAAAAGGGGAAATTTTGTTCTCTAGGTTTTCCCCCAAGTAAACATTGCTTTATTTCTAATAATAACCAAGACTTTTCAAGCTTCTAGATCTCATAGGAAAGCTTGTAATAGCAAAAATGTAAATCACAAGGGAAGAATCTACTGTTTAGAAATTGCTTTGTTTTCCAAGCAGTAAGTACTACATACAGTACTTGTAAAGTGTTAGCTGTAAGTAAGCACAAAATGCATTTAAAATATAAAGACGATTTTTTCAGACTGTGATTATGGTGAACATAACAAAACGCGGTCGTCACCGTGGCAGGTAGTGTGATGAATGAACGCGCCACTCTGAGGCTAATTACCTGATGGAATACAAGAGCAGCGGTCACCCGAGTTTCCTTACCCTAGCCTTTATTTCTCTGTCATTTGGATGGCTGGTCAATGGGAAGAATTCAGTGGGCGATTTAATCAACTGCAACCCATCTGCCCCTGTCCCAGAATGATGAGCCAGATTAGCATTAAACCAGTACTTGTCAGTCCATCATAATACTGTGCATTCAGGCACTCTCTGTCTCTAATCCTTCGGAGTTGTTTTTAAAGACATAATCACTCTGAACTTCCATGGAACCTGTCTTCCACCACAACCCTGGGAGAGAAAAGCATGCTGAGCAAGGGATCTTGGCTTCATAATTCCTTATAGCCAATATCAACACTGGCAATCAGCACACAGAAGAAAGGACCCAAATCACTATGTAGCTTAAAGATTTCTGTTAATTTGAAAGAACAAAAACAAGACAGAACTTCTGATACTCTAATCAGGATGATTCCTAACAAATCAGTCATTTGTGAACCTAGTGGACTTTTCGGTTACTTTAATTTGCATATATTCTCCGGTTACATCAGACTCTATCTGTGGCCTTGTTCTTCATTTCAGTGTTAATCAGCTAAACAGAAGTTGTTGCTTATGATGTGTGAGTGAACATATGCCACTGCCTGGCCTTTTTTTCTTCGGAGCTTGTTGTCTTTCTCGCTATATTAGACTTTGCAGTATGCCCAGAAGCTTTCCTTCATAAAATAGAAAGAAGAAAACATTTGGCTTATTTTTCACTGTAGCTAGTCTTTTATACAATAATCTTGTAAGAAAATTTCTTGAATTCTAAATATTACTCTTTCTAGATTTTTGAAATCAAAAAGTTTTCAGTAAAAAGTTTCTTACTTTATTTTATTATATTAGGTAGTAAAAATGTAGGGTTATTTACCATAACCTGTTCATTAATATCAGAAATTTACAATAGCATTTTAAGACCATAGTAGGATTCTAGCATACCGTGTAGTACCTGTGGAGTATTGTAAGAGCTAATTGTCGGAGATGAATTGCTTCTCATCTTGTTCTCCAGTTTCCATTGTTGGTTTATTGCAGATTTGTATCCTGTGTCAAATTCAAGGTATTACTGATAAAACTTTTCAACCAGCAGCAAGAAGTTCAAATTTTTTTCTGTCACTGTAACAGGAAACACAATATGTATATAACATTTATGTAGCAATAAATGTGCCATCTTTTTTTTAACACAGTAAACTCGTGAGTTTTTTACATTTCTCTTTCTCAAAGAATAACGTGTTTTGTTTTCTTTTCTCCATCTCATTCCTCCCAGAAGCACCCACTGCTTTTCCTAACTGCATTACTACATTATCTGGGAAACCCTTCAGGACAGAATCAGGCTGTGCAGCTGAGTTGGTTATCTGGTCTAGAGCTTCTCCTCTTGCCCTCACTACTGATGGTGGCTGGCCTTCTAACTTTTCCCTGAAGACTGGTGAAACAGCACTTAGCAGTTACAGAAAATCTACTCATTTGTAGATCTAGAGAAAAATGAAGAAGATGGAAAAAGACTCACACGAGGCTTTTTAAGTTATTCTTCAAAGCACTTTTCACATTTCACACACCTTTTCTCACAAAAAAATGTGTCATAGTAGGTAATGGTATTGTGTACTGTTTAAAAGATCGAAAGTTTCCTTTTACTCCAGTTTTTAGCCACAGAAAGATGCACAGTGATTATTCATGAGGACTTCATGCCAAGCAAGAGCCTGAAACACACTGGACAGACTCTTTTTGGCGTGAATGACTTTGATTAGGACCTGCACACGCGAAACCCATGGTCATCGTCACATCCTCTTGCCGTGCTAGCAGATTGCTTCTCTTGGTGAATTATGAAATCCAGTCTTCATGCTGGGTGCCTAGCAGAACATTTTGCTTCTTGTGGGATTTAGTGAAAGCTTTTAAACTTGTTGATTTTATACAAAATGATAAAGAGAAAGCTCTAAGAAGAAAATATATAATGTTAGAGCTCAGATGAAATCTAGAGACCATCTAGTAAAGGACCTCATTAATAGATCTATGAAAACAGACCCAGAGATACTGTATGTTTCTAAGAACACGTAATTAGTAAAAGATCGACGCTTACACCGTTCCCTACAAAACCTCCCTGTCTTTTTCTCTTTCTTTGCAGATTTCTAGTCCACTTCTACTCAGTGTCTTCATTTTTCTCCATATTTGTTTTATTTCATGTTTCTCTCCTCTAGTTAATGTTTTATTTTTCCTTAGAAACTCAAAATTTAAACACATCGTGCGTGTGTGCGTGCACGTGTGCGTGTGTGCGTGTGCGTGTGCGCTTGTGTGACTTAAAGGTTAAAGAATAAGCTTTGGCATTAAATGGTCCTTGATTCAAATCTAAGCTCAACGTCTGATTAACTTCATTTTCTTATCTGAAAAATGGAGGTAACTATTAGAATTGTGTAAGTATTGAATGAAACAATGTATGGAAAGCTCTTATGGTTCTTGTCACATAATACGTACTTAATAAATGATCAATATTTTTAAAATAAATAATATTATAACCAGCTCCCAGGATGATTCCTCTTCAGCCATCCTGTCAGAGGTAAATGGTAAAATATACCCCCAGAAGATGTCAAACCATCTTTGTAGGAGTCTACATTCTTTTGCAGCCATCCAGTGAAACACTGCACTTCTTTTCAGTGCCCTCCCCCGGCTACATTTTAAGAGGATTTTTCTTTAGAGCTTCACATTTCAAAAGAGTGAGTCTGGCTGGGTGCGGTGCCTCACACCTGTAATCCCAGCACTTTGGGAGGCTGAGGCAGGTAGATCATTTGAGGTCAGGAGTTTGAGAGCAGCCTGGGCACCATGGTAAAACCCCATCTCTACTAAAAGTACAAAAATTAGCCATGCATGGTGGCAGGCACCTGTGATCCCAGCTATTCGGGAGGATGAGGCAGGAGAATCACTTGAACCCAGGAGGAGGAGGTTTCAGTGAACTGAGGTCATGCCTCTGCACTCCAGCCTGGGGAACAAGAGCAGAACTGTCTCAAAAAAAAAAAGTGAGCCAGTGAGCTTTGCCCAGTCCCACTGTGAGGATACACAGCTGTATGGGTTTGGGTTCTTAAGAAGCAGATCCCAAGATGAAGTCAGAAGTGTGAAGGACTTATTAGAAGGTGTACCTAGACAGGGATGGCCTTGATGCAGGTTAGATACCTGTGAAAGAAGGGTGCGTGAGGAAGAATTAGGGAGGGAGAGCCTCAGACTGCAGTTCTGAAGATGGCCTGAGCAGCCCAGTGGGGGAGTTCTGCACAGACTGCCCATAAAGGAGGCGTGCATTAGGCAGGAATGGCAAAGTACCGGGTCCCTGTTTCGGTCAGTCATTGGGAATTCTCTGGGGAGACAGGCCTCAGTTTGAACACTAACAAAAGTGCTGCAGCCAGAAGCTGACAGCCAACTACTCTACAGACAGCTTATCTTTGAAGGGAGACCTCACATGCACCTCATGGCTTCCACAGCAGCACCTCATCTACTTCCTACAAAAGGGCAAAAGAAAACCAAAGTCTTCTGAAGTCACTGGGACAATAGCTGATCTCGGGCCAGTGAGTCCTCCAGAATTTGCAGTGCTTTGGCATTTGCCATTCCACAGTCAAGGAAACTTACACACATTATCTGAAGAATGGATCCCATTCATCCTCCATCTTCTTTGGCTGTGGTGTGGGCTTGTGTAATCTGGTAAGATCTCCCAAAGTTAATGTGTTTAGTACATTCATCCCTCCGTGTGTGTTGGGGTCTGGTTCCACGATCCCCTAAGAACACTAAAATCTCTGCCCTTTATATAAAAGGGCATGGTACTTGCCTACAACCGTCCCACATACTTTAAATCATCTCTAGATTACTCATAGCACCTAATACACTATAAGTCCTATGTAAATAGTTACGCTGTATTAGTTTTTTCATCTGTAGTATTTTCAGTATTGCATTGTTTTGTTCTGAAAACAGGGTCTTGCTCTGTCGTCCAGATTGCAGTGCAGTGGTATGATCCTAGCTCAGCGCAGTCTCAAACTCCTGGGCTCAAGTGAGCCTCCCGTTTTGGCCTCCCAAAGTCCTGGGATTATAGGCGTGAGCCACCATGTCCAGCCTGTAATGCTTTGTTGTTGTTGCTTTTTGAGACAGCGTCTTACATTATTGCCAAAGCCGGAGTACAGTGGTACACACATGGCTCACTGCAGCCTCAACCTCCCTGGCTCAGGCAGTCCTTCTGACTCAGCCTCTAGAGTAGCTGGGACCATAAGTGTGCACCCCTGTGCCTAGCCAGTTTATTTTTTGTAGAGATGGAATCTCCTCATGTTTCCCAGGCTGATCTGTAACTTACGGGCTCAAGCTGTTTTCCTGCCTTGGCCTCCTAAAGTGCTGGGATTATAAACTGCACTTGGCCCATTGTTAATTTATAATTAGTTTTTCCCCCCAATATTTTTGATCCGTGGTTGGTTGAATCCGTGGATGTTGGACCTGAATGCAGATAAGAAAGGCCGGCTGTATTCTAGTGTTCTTCACAGGCCCAGGGACACGCCTCGCCTGCTAGGTCAGTGGATGGTTATTCTAGTGTTCTTCACAGGCCCAGGGACACGCCTCGCCTGCTAGGTCAGTGGATGGTTATTCTAGTGTTCTTCACAGGCCCAGGGACACGCCTCGCCTGCTAGGTCAGTGGATGGTCCACAGCGTCTCTGTGGCTGCCTGGCTTAGGAAGCTCAGCGTCCTCATGTTTTGGAGGTGTTGCCCTGTGAGTGCCTTCAGCCCTAGGCTTTCTTACATGGGCCTACTGGAGCGTGTATGTGGGAGCAGAAATAACTTTCCTATGTTCATTTTCTCTCTCTCTAATTACTGCCAGAAGACAACCTGAAAAGGTTTTCTGTTTTCTTTGACAAAGACTTTCAATCCCTCCCCCAAACTGTCATGCGGTACCACCGCCGCCTCTGCCAGGGTCTCCTTTCTCACTCTAGAGGGTCAGGGCTCCACTAGGCTGAGTCCATAGGATCGGCCATTTTGTCTTTGGGCCTGGTGAGCACCATGTGCATCTTTTCTCTAGAGGCAAGGGACATCTCTGTGTCTTTGAAGATTGAACCTTCTGCCACAGTTTGAATGTGTCCCCAGAAAAGTATATGTTGGAAACATACTCCCTCATGCAACAGTGTTGAGGGTTGGGGCCTAATTAAAGGTGTTGGAAGTAGGTGCTCAGTGCGGGAAAGAAAAATCAGCACTGAGACAAAGGATCTTTCAGCGACACAGTTTTTACTTTCTGGACTCCAGGAAGGGAGCTCTCACTTGCCATCGTACAGAGAACAAAGGAAAACACACAAATTTATTCCTTAAGCATTTGGGGTCGTCCTTACTGCTGTGTCTGCTCTCCATTGGCTGGAGCCAGACCTCAGAATCTCAACAAAAACCCAGTTGGCTAACAACTTAAAACTTTTTTTTTTTTTGAGACAGAGTTTCGCTCTTGTTACCCAGGCTGGAGTGCAATGGCGCGATCTCGGCTCACCGCAACCTCCGCCTCCTGGGTTCAGGCAATTCTCCTGCCTCAGCCTCCTGAGCAGCTGGGATTACAGGCACGCGCCACCGTGCCCAGCTCATTTTTTTTTTTTTGTATTTTTAGTAGAGACGGGGTTTCACCATGTTGATCAGGATGGTCTCTATCTCTTGACCTCTTGATCCACCTGCCTTGGCCTCCCAAAGTGCTGGGATTACAGGCGTGAGCCAGTGCGCCCAGCCAACTTAAAACTTTTCTAAGCAGGTAAAAGCAGTGGAAAGTGGGGTCATGCCTGTGAGCACGTGTAGCACAGATATCTTGGTTAAAGTACACGGAATGTGCTACGTGCCTGTAAGCACTGCATGTCTAGGTTAAAGTACACGGAACGTGCTACGTGCCTGTAAGCACGGCATGTCTAACAGCTACATAGAATAGAGCTTAACAAAGAGTTACTAGCACACTTGTGATTTAACAAGAAAGAAACTTTAAAAAGGAACTGCCCCTGGCAGCCCTATGGGATTTTATGCTGTCTCTAATTTTCCGGGCCTTCTGCAGCTCTATTTCCTGCAAGATTGCATCTTTTCTCCTGGATAGTTGGTCCTCGCTGGGCTGACGTGGCAGCCTAGTGTTGGGAGCAAGCCTATGTCTGGCCTCCGGTCAGAAAGCCAGAGGGGTCACTTTGTCCTGAAATACAACCCAGCCATTGGCC